AGTGCAAAGCAGGACCTGGGAGTCTGGCTCCCCAAACCAGGACTACCACCAGGGTGGGCAAGAGTGGCATGAGGTTTATTGATTCTGTTTCTCCTTGGGCAGCTTTTTTGCAGATCCAGCTCTGCTTGGGGCCAGGGAGGCTCTCAGACCAAGGACCAACGTCAGGCTAAAGTGGGAATAGATATTCCTATGCCCACCATTCCCGTGGACCTCTGCTTCTGCTCACGGGCATTGTCCTCTAGGCGATCCCAGCCAGCTAATCAGCGTCTTCCCACACCCTTCTAATTGCCCCAATCCAGGCCAGCGCCTCTCCCTTGGATTATTGGATCACCTCCTCATGGATTCCTTAGCCTCCACTCCTGAAGCAAGGAGCGAGCTTCCTAAACTGCACACCTGGCTTCCCATTTTATGACCTCCTGGGCTTCCTAGCCATCTTGTGGGGTCCCTTTCTCTCAGACTTCCTCCAACCGCTTCAACACTCGTCCCCCACACAATCCCACTTTGTCACTGTCTGGTCTGTATCTCCCACCATGGGGACCACAGGCTTTGTAGAAAACACACCATTTCTTCCTCTGCCCTGGGATTGTGTGGAGGCTGCTGGAAGACCCTGCCTGTGTGAGAAAGCTCAAGTCTCCACCTTGCATTGGGGTGTGGGGAGAGCTGATGAGCCCATTTGAGACTCAGCTCCCTCCTTACCAGCGCGCACAATTCTGCAAAGCCCATCAGGGCGCTGAGGGGCTGCAGCAGAAGCTCTGGGGCCCCACCCAGTCCCCTTTCCTGGACCAGTGTGCACCCACCCCCCAGTTGGTTGATAAGGGCTTTCTCTTGAGAATGGTTTTCAGCGGATAAGAGCTGCCTTGCCTGAAATTGTCTAGAAAGTTGCAAGCTCCCTTTGGGAGTGCTCCCCAGACAATGACTGACTGATACAGGGCACAGAATCCTGGCCTCCTTGCCTCAAGGGGGGACAGCTCTGATGCCATTCCTTCTTCAGAGTTCCCTGTGGATCAGGCTGAGGCTGGACTCCAGCGGAGACCCCACCCTGCCCTGTCCTGCCTACCTCCCTCCCTTCTCCTGAGAGCCCCCTTTCTGCCTTCCCAATAAGCCTCGTGTACATGAATCCCCACCTAGGCTGGGCTCCTAGGGAATGTGACTTAGGATGGGAGTCTTTGAAAAATATTGCCTTTTCCTAGACTAAGGGTAAGGACCACAATCCTCCTGCCATAAGCTGGGGTGAGAACCAAGGGAGCCGGACCAGTGGGCAGGACGGCACAGGGAGGCAGGGGCAGGGACAAGGATGCTCGCTCAGATCACAAGGAGCTGAGGTCTGAGAAGAGGGTGGGATGGCCCGAGCACCCTCTGGGTTGGCTCACCTGTTTGGACATGGAGTCAATCAGGCGCACATAGAGGTCCTGTTCTGTCCGAAGTCCTAAGGGCAGGAAGGTGGAGAGGGCTTGCTGTATGGGGAGCATCTGTGGCCTCTGATGACTGCAGTGCACTCCACACCCTCCCCACCTGGAGCCAGGGTCCTCCTCAGCCCTGATGACAGGGCATTATGTGTCCCATGGGGCTTTGGTACCCAGTGGGCAGTGGGCTTCGCTCACCATTGTTATACACCAGCCGGAGGCGGTAGTGGATCCCATTGTTCGTCTTTTCAGCCCCAGGCTCCTGCAAGGCCAAGACGGGGAGCACGCTCAGGAACCCTGCAGCTACCCCACCAGCCCGCCTCCCTAACCCTCCCTTCTTCCCCTCCCTTCCATCCATTCACTCCCCTTTCTCCACTCCTCAACCACCTATTCATTGGAAGGGAGACCCCTGAAGCCCTCCTGCCTCCTCTCCCCCATGCCCCGTCCAGCTGAGCCCACGAGCCTCTCACTCGGTCCTTTTCCACGAAGTCAATGAAGGCTGTGCGCTCCACCTCCACAGGCTGCCCCTGCCGGTCATACATGGCCAGCACGAAGTGGAAGAAGTTGGATTTCCTGAGGTTGGAGGGAGGCTGCTTCTCAAAATGTGCTCGTGCCAGGCCCACGCCACTGCAGGAGGAAAAGAGCTGGGAAACCACCGGAAGTACCCTCAGAAGAGAAAGACCTCATCGTCTCTAACCAGGTAGGTGGGCAGGCCAGGACTTGGCTCTGATATGTCAAGAGTCGGGGCAAGGAATAAATTGGATGGGTCCAATGCACCCTTGCCAGAGCCATCTCAGTTCCAGACAGAGGCCTCTAAGCCCAGAGGTCACCCCAGCCTGCTCCCTTGGGAATAGGAGGCATAGCAGGTCACAACAGAGGCGTCCCTCAAGGTTCTTCCCTGGACCCCATATTTTGAAAGGCTGATCTCCAAAACCAAATGTCTGCACAACCTATCTTGCTGACCAGAGGCTCCTGTGACTGCCTTTTAGGGCAACAAGGGGCAGCTGGGAGGCTCTGCAACAAATATCCATTGTATGTACCCCAGTCCATGGCTGTATATGTGAACCTGCAGCATTGCCTGAGAGACGATGCTGTCCATGACTCTTAGAGATATCAAACTGGCTAAGGGCCACTAGTTTGCCCAGTCTGGACCCTGGGCTATGACTGAAGGTGGGGAAAGCCCTCTCCAGATGTGGAGGTATGTGCTGCCATGCTTTGGGAAAGACAGCCACTGGCTCCCTTGGGGAGGAGAGTCTTCTGGTCTGGCCTTGCCAAGGGCTTTCTCCCGGCTCATCAGAAACCACTCCCAGAAGCAAAGCCAGGATGAGAGCAGGAGGAGAAGAACCAAGGCCCTATTCACCAAATATTTCCTGAACCCCAATGATGTACCAAGCATTGGACACATGGCTTTGAATGGGGCTGGAGTGAAATGCCTAGAAGGGGAGGGAAGACGGAGAGCTATAACACAAGACAAAGTGGTGGGTGCCCCCCAAAATATGTTACTGTATGAAAAACTATAGAAGCAAAGGAAGAAAAAATGAATTCTTTCTGTGAGAGATGAGGGGAAGACTTCATGGAGGTGGTGGCTTTTCCCCTGGTTCTTGAGGAACAAATAAGAGTTCAACAGATGTAGCAGACAAAAGAGCAGACCTAACAGCATAAGAAATAGCTGTAGGTGTGAGGGCTAGTATCACCGGACCACAGATTTCAAAAAGTGACGTGAGGAGAGAAAAGGCTGTATTGGAAGTGCTAGACTATACAGGGCCACAAAAAATAGCTTAAGCATTCTTTTCTGGGTCAAGGTCTTCCAGCATGACCTTTCTGGGTAAGGTCTTAGATCTCTCATAGCTCCAGACCCTTCCTCTACAAAAGAGCGCTATGGCCACAATTGCTGGGAAATGTGGCTTCATAGCATGCACATATGTATGTGGGGGGCCCTGGGACACCCTCCAGAAATGGACCCTGCTTGACCTATCTCAGGCCAGTGCTCCCCATGTGTGGCGGTCAGCCTCCAAGATGGTTCCCCGTGATCCCCGCCTCCTGGTCT